TGGATGAATGGGTAAAACAATGCAAATATGCAAGATATCAGTCCTCGGGGGATTGCTGCTGTTAGCATCCGTTGCTTGTAGAGGGCTACGTGGTTGTCCGGATTGTTGGTACCATCATAGATCTTCATGGTGGGGAAAGAGAACTTCCTTGGCATATCCACTAAAGCGATCTCTTCCACGAAGGCCGTGTCGGAGTAGGAGCTAGGGTCACTCCTCCTGATGGGGGGAGCTACACCTGGAAGCCTTTCCACCATCGATTGGATGGTATTGAATCTTTCAGAGAACATCTTCTCGAGGCATGCCACAGCGGCTGGATCTGAGATCAGAGGGTTGTCTGGTGAGTATTCCTCATCCTCCATATCGGAGTCACTACTGAGGGTTACTTGCGTCCTTCTTGCTGTAGTTTCCTTGCCCTCAGGTTCTTTATCACCGGGAGCTGTACGCTGAGTTGCTCCTTCTTTGTTGGTAGGAGTATCGAGGGAGGGCATGGTTCAAACTCGGGTTCGAAACCTTCGGCGTTTGTTGATGTTCTTCCCGAGATCTTGGTTCTCCTCTTGGAGAAGATGGTTTTCCGCTTCGAGTGCTCCTACCTTCTCTGCACTTCGTTGTAGCTGTTGGGTGTGCTCGTCGAGTTTGGATTTTAGGGTTTGAACTTCTTGGAGAAGTTCTAAGCTGTTGCCGACTGTTCCTCGAGCCTCCCGGAGCTCGTTGATTTCTCCTCGGAGGGCGTTAAGCTGATTGAGGAGCTCGGCTTTTCTTGGAGTAGCTCCGGTGGGTTCGGTTGAGTCTTCTGGTGTCATCGTCACGTAGTTGGGTAACTCTCCTCCTTCTAGCGCCAAGCTGTTATGGTATTTTGTGTAGGGTCGTTTTAGTACTACGGAACACAAGAAAGTTCGTACAAAGATAGAAAGAAGCGAAGAAGTTTATATGAGGTAAGGAGAAATCAGATGTATTCGTATGAGTATAAGCAAGAATCAAGTAGAGAAAGAGAGATCTTATTGATTATTCGATGGGGGGCTACAATTTTGGTGTAAGAACCCTAATCTTAGCCGCCTAGATCTAGTCTCTCAATCTCTAAGTGTCGATCCCTTATTCTAGGGTTTGAGTTCCCCTTATATAGGTGTAGATGTCGGGTTGCATTAAGTTAAACTCTTCCATATTGGCAAATATGGACAAGTTCCCGTAAGTGGAGAACTTCCGTTTTATCCAAGGGCCGACTTTTGGGGGCCCGGGGAACCTAGAAGTAGGGTCCGGGCCTTGGGTCCCTTCGGAGCAGGGGTCTCGAGGCCGGTGCCCAGCCCGGGGGCTGTAGGAATCTGGTGCCTGGATATTTTCCCAAAAAGACTATCCACCTTTAGGTTTGTGTATGTGGTATATGAATGAGCTCTGAGCTACAGAAACTTCTTTTTAAAATCTTGATGTCTTCTAGTAAGTTACAAAGGCTGGACATCATCTGGTTCCGAAACCATATTCACCGACCACGAAAAATCTGTTGCTAGTGTAACCGAATACTGTCTTAAGTTCCTCTAACATTCCATTTCCCAAATGAGAGTCTATATCTCCGAGTACAATGGTGACTGGCTCGCCCTTATGTTCCTCGACCCCACTAAACCATCAAATCCTTCCAGTGTGCTATACCATCTTTGTCCTGGGAATGTTTTCTCATGTTTCCAAGATCCATCTACAAAACATCATCTACCTGGGTTAGTAGGAATTGTCGGCCCAACTTGTGATCGAGTCTGTGCTATTTTTTGTGGGAGTGCAGCTTGTGCCTCAACCCAGAGTAGAGACTCTGTCTCTGCCAGTTTAAGAGTATCTCATGGGTCATTATCCAAATTGCTGAACACTTTATTATTTCTACTCTTCCATATGTACCATAGGATCCATGCTTATTGATGATCTTCCATTTTTGGATTAACCCTCCATAATAAATGATCCAAATTCTCAAAGAGAGATTGTAGTAGAAAGATGTCTGGGTTCGATGGGATTCGTGACAGAGCCCAAACATGAATCGCTGGTGGGCACTCAAGAACACATGATAAATAGATTCCTCTAGCGCTCCACATCATGCACAAACTATATCCCAGTGCATTATTTTTTACCGTATTTTTTTCTTAACCGCTATACACCCTGAAACCCATTTCCATAAAAAGTGTTTCATTTTAGGTGGGCACTGAACGGTCCGGCAGAGAGCTTGCAACGACGTAACCGAAGGGCCGTACACTAGGGGCCTTCTTTCTCTGTCTGGATATACTCATTCTACTTGATATCCTGATTTAACTGTATATCTTCCATTTTTTTTTAAAAAAATGCCATCCATTCTGTCTACTGTAGGATTCTCGACTCAAAGGAATACTCTCAATAATTTTCGCATCTTGCGGGACTACCAGACTCCAAATAACTTGTGATTTCCAGGTTCGTGAGGTTGCATCGATGAGAGAATCGACTGTAAGATCCGAGTAAAGACTATGATAGTTTTTGTTTGTTGGTCTCAGACGAGTGGATGGAAGACAAGGATCATTCCATACTGAAATGGATGATCCTGATTTCATCCTTTTGATTGCTAACCAGAGATTTAGCAGAGACTATACTACGCCAGCCATAAAAGGGCGAGTACGATCTAGTGAGTTCCAAGGTGATGCATTCTTGAAATATCGATCTTTGAAGACACGAGAAAATAAGGAATTTGGTTATAAGTAATTGTATTCAGACTTCTAAATAAATTTAAATAATTCATAAATGATAATAAATATCTAAAACATTGAATAATTTCCAATGATAAAAATCTTCCTTTATTTTTGAGTCACAAAAAAATCCTTCAACTAAATTTTCAGCATTGTAAACTTTCAACTTATAAACCGTTAACATATATCACACTCCGTCGCAGTATTTTGAAGGAGGGTAATAGACGTTAACGGAACTAAGGTTGAAATTTTATTTCGTAGGATTTTTAGTTGAATATTTATTTTACGATTCATATTTAGTTGAGGAGTTTAATTACTAATGTGGTTCCAAGTTAATGCCAGATAAAAAAGATTTCGGGTAACCCATTTCTATACGTGGAAAAAACGTGGAAAAATTGAAAACAAAACAACATAGGGTTTATATTCAGAGAGTACAAAATCATACTATAAAAATATATACTGATATGCGCCATCCTGAAGAAACAATCATACGCCAAAAATAAATTGATGTTATTTTTTGGGTAAAGAAAAGTAAATTTTAAAATATACAAGTTGACATCGTGATAGTGAATGTTAGAAACAATAAAATGTTATTTTTTGATTAATCTGGAGGATCTCGGATCTATGTAAAGATCTAAATTAATCTCTAAAATAATGTGTACTCAACAGATAGACTTTCTCTTGAGATATGTAAATGGAGCATAAGTATAAATCCATATCCGTGTAGATATTGAGGAATAATTTAACTTAGTTTCGTATACTAGATAAATTGAATCTGAAATGTGTTGGCATTCCAAGTCATTCTCCGTACCACTTGACAACAAAACCCCGGACATAAACTGCTACTTGACCGAATGTTCTTCCTAGGATGTTACTATTTTAGCAACATAAATTTCAAAACTTATTGATTCTTCAAATGCCGGTCGTGGAAGCGTTCCCCCAGTCATTAGAATTTTCCAAACTCGAGGAAAACAACACGCAACTCTTAACGCTCTCTTTTATTCTTAGTTTATTACTCACGCTAGAAACACCTCAACATAGCTTTATTTTTAGAAAAGAGTTTAAGTATTTAAAAGATCCAAATCGAATAGAAAAGCAACTGCAAATAAGTGTGAAACAACAACTCTTGATTAGAATAGGTGTAAAAAAACGTAAAACATATCTGAATGAGTTTAACTAGGAAGGCTATTACTTCTAGATGTAGGCTACATGACTATTTATTTAACAAGACATTCAAAAAAAACAATCACAGTATTTGAAGCCTTTGTGTAATTTTTTCTTACAGATACTCATAAAAGTTTCGTGTTTAATGGCTTAATGCAAGTATAAGATGTGGATTCGAAATAATACTAAACTGGTGAGCTATGCAGTTGATATTATTCTACACTTTAAAATTTTAAATTAAATATATGACGTAAGAAAATGCCAAGAAAAAAATTAGTGTTTTAGCTACACTAGCAATAGTTGCATAATTGCATTGTAATTTTGTAAACCCAAACGGCTACTTTTTCAAAAGTCTTTCTCATTTCATGCGTTCACATTTACACCAGCCAACAGTATCCAGAGAGGCTTGACACTGATATTTGAAGTATGGGAAACGACAAAGAGCAAAACTGGACAATCTAGAAAAACACATACTACTTTGCTCATTTACTCTAAAACAGTATACGAATATACCAAATACCACACTCTAAAGCATTACCTACGCCCATTACAAAAATTATTCAGTAACCAATCAAATTTAACGGTGAAGTAAGAAGTCAAAAAGAGGAAATCCACTTTCAGTTTACCATATATGTATATATTGTGTTCTTCATATTGTAAACCTAATTACCTAAATATAACTTAGCTTGACCTGATCACGTATTTGACCAATTTACTCGTTTCATATTCATAATCGTCATTACTGATTATAATGGTTCTTCACCAATATCGTTCTGGATTTTCTCTAACTTGTTTGCGATGAAAGTTTAAAGACACATTGTTTATAAAGTAAAGATCAACAAAATATACATTTGGTCGTTATTGTACTCAAACTGTGTTGTTTGGTCAAATGAATCCTAACGTCATCAATAATTACTATCAAATTCGAATCAATCTAACAAAAACTACATATACGCAAAAAAAATGAAGAATATTTACACATCAATACATGGATTTTAGTAGTTGTACATCGAATATTATAATCATTATGAACCCATAATATTATAATCATTATCATCCCGTAGTTTCATATAATGCATTATAAAATCGCTTCAAGCCATGTTTTTTTTTTTTGCTTCAAGCCATGTTTCGATAAATACAAACATAATATTGGCGTATTTCACGATCTATATACGTATCATTCATGTCGACTTTTTAGAAAAAAATCCACGTAGAGTTTTCTTATAGTAGTAAGTTTCCTCGCAACGACAAGCACATTTGTAATTGATTTTTCTTTTGATATAATTATAATTAAAAAAGGAAGAAGAAGGTCACAGAGATTGAACATGATTCTCCACTTTCTTACCATTCGTTGCTCTTCTTTTCCCACTTTCCACTCTTGTCTTCTTCTTCTCCTTCATCTTACTTAACACATAAGCCACCAAGCCAAAACAGAGCAACACAAACTCAAATGGCTTCTCCTCCTCTATACTTCTTCCTTCTCTTCCTCTCCGTCGTTTCAGCCGTCAAACTACCTCTGTCTGCATTCTCCCACCACACAGACCAATTAGTACCCACTGACCCTTACCTCCATCTCCGCCGTCTCGCCGATTCCTCCATAGCCAGAGCCCAACAGCTCAAACAACCAAGCTCCATTAAACCCAACGAAGATGCTCTCTCGGCCTCCTCAGCCGCAGTCGTGAAATCCCCTCTTACTCCTAAAAGCTACGGAGGATACTCAGTCTCTCTAAGCTTCGGCACGCCGCCGCAGACCATCCATTTCGTATTCGACACCGGAAGCAGCCTTGTCTGGTTCCCTTGCACCTCAAGGTATATCTGCTCCGGCTGCAATTTCCCCGGTTTGGATCCGACCCGGATCCCAAGATTTGTCCCTAAGGCCTCTTCCTCCTCACGGGTTATCGGGTGTCAGAATCCGAAATGCAAGTTCCTATTCGGACCCAATGTGAAGTGCAGAGGATGCAACCCGAATGCCCACAACTGCACCGTCGCTTGTCCACCGTACATTCTCCAATACGGATTAGGATCAACGGCTGGAATTTTACTGTCCGAAAAGCTTAATTTCGCGGATCTAACCGTACCCGATTTCGTCGTCGGATGCTCTATTCTCTCGACCCGAACCCCCACTGGTATCGCCGGGTTTGGACGAGGACGCGAATCGCTTCCTTCACAGATGAATTTAAAAAGATTCTCATATTGTTTGGTCTCTCGTCGATTCGACGATACAAAAGTAAGCACAGATCTTGATCTGGATACCGGGTCGGGTCATAAAACCGGTTCGAAAACTCCGGGTCTTAGCTACACGCCGTTTCGTAACAACCCGAACGTCTCCAACTCAGCGTTTCTCGAGTATTACTACCTCAATCTCCGGCGAATATTCGTCGGAAGGAAGCGCGTGAAGATTCCTTACAAGTTCTTAGCGCCGAGACCCGACGGAAACGGAGGATCCATCGTCGATTCCGGATCCACATTCACTTTCATGGAGCGACCCGTTTTCGAGCTCGTCGCTGAGGAATTCGCGGCGCAGATGTCGAATTACAGCAGAGAAGTGAAGTTGGAGAAGATCACCGGACTTGGGCCGTGTTTCAGCATCTCCGGGAAGGGATCGATGACGGTGCCGGAGTTAACGTTCGAGTTCAAAGGTGGAGCGAAAATGGAATTGCCGTTGTCTAATTACTTTACGCTCGTCGGAGGCGTTGATAACGTTTGTTTAACGGTGGTTTCCGATAACACCGTTAGTTCCACCGGTGGACGCAGTGGTCCGGCGATTATTCTCGGGAGCTTTCAGCAACAGAACTATCACGTGGAGTATGATTTGGAGAATGACAGGTTTGGGTTCGCCAAGAAGAAGTGCAGCCCGTGAGTATCCAGGGGTAATTTCGTAGTTAACTTAATCAACCGATGAGACCAATTTAATTTTATGATTTAAGAGATATATTAATTTCCTTTACAATAAAAAGGTTGTTAAATGTTTGTAACTAAGAGATATATTAAAGTTAAGATCAAATCTAAATTTCTATTATCTGTAATTAATGGATGCTAAAGGTGTGGATGAGGAAACTAAATAACATGTGAAGTCATTAGACATTAGTCATAGGCTGTATGCATTATCGAAAACTAATAGAAGATGGGTGCTAATACAGTGATAACACGTTGGTGTCCGTTGCCAAAAAATAACCAAACCAACCCAATATATATTCCACTAACTGTAATACTATTTTAATAAAGTTTTTTTTATGTGAAACAAAACATATCCATGTGTGTAAAAAACGTAAGAAAAGTGGTACTTTCTTTTTTCAGTCTCGATCCACTTTATTTTTCAGTTTCGAGACTTCGAATAATAGATAGTGTAGATATAATATACTCATATAACCTATAATTAATCCGTTTCTTTCAAAGGAGCTATCTATACTATTATTTGAGAAGTAAATTTGCTTAGTTGTCATGTTCTCCATAAGTTTAGGTAATTTTGTTTATTTATCATAAATATATATTTAAAAAGAAAAAAAGATAATTACTATATATAGTGTGTTGTTATCCGGAAAATATATTTTAATAAAAAATCAAAAACAGAAAACACATAAATAAATATTCATAAAGAAACTTTTCAACTGTACATAATTGAAAAGAGAAAATTGAAAAATTTATAATAGGTAATTATTTTCTAATTAAAAGAATATAATAATATAACATAATGATATATATATATATATATTTGTGAAGTAGTTTTTCGCCTGAACTCACATATTAAATTAAATTTATTTTATATTTTATATAGTATAACATTAAACATGAATTAATCATAATAAAATAAAAGATCATTCAAAAGAAAAAAAATACGTTGTTGACAAAATAAATTCAAATATATTGTATTATTATCCAAACTAATATTATTCTTTCTGTAAGATCAATTTTTGAATGTATATTTATTGCTTCAATTTATCAAATTGAAAGAGAAGTTTCTATATTTTTTTACTAAACAGATTTTAGATTTTGTTTTCAAAGTTTTAAAGGGAAAAATAGATTTTTTTTTAATTTATGAATAATTTTATCATGTAAAAACGTTTAATGTTTTAGGTCTAATTTTTTAGATGAAAATAATCATTTATTTTGATGATTTTTAAATTGTCTTAAAAATAATTAAGCCCGCATGTGCGGGCAAAACACCTAGTTAGGTATTAAACATGAATACATACTGTGTATATGTAGTGATGCACAATTATTTAATAAATTGATCTTTTGGAATTTTGTCTCTAGATGATTGATTTTGTTGTAGCTTTGTATTTAAATATATTACTCCTTCCGTTTCAATTTAGTTGTCGTTGTACAGTAAAATTTTCGTTTCAAAAACCATTTAACTTTATATACTAGTATTCTATTTTTCTATTGGTTGAAATATTGTTAGATATATAAGTAATTGTGTTTTTTTTTCTAGAAAATATTTAAAATTAAATGGTTTTTTTAATTTGTGTGCAAAAACCCAAAATGACAACTAAATTGAAACGGAGAGAATAGTAATTATATTTAAATTTGCTGAAATACCAATACTATTGGCTCACAGTTAAGAAAACATCTTTTAAAATGAAAATAAATGTATTTCAAAAAATTAGTTATTACTTAATTTTGTGAAAATTTCAAATATTATTTTATTATGAATAGACAGATTATTTGCATAAAATTGATTTAAATATGTTTCTTTATATTTTATTATATTTTTTCATTTTTGTTTTATGACATGCCGGCTTCATTTTTTTTTTTGATAAAGGGCTTATGCCAGTTTAGTTTCTAAAAACACTATAATTTTTTTTTGATTTTGAATTCCAGAAGTTTGTCATAACTTTCCAGTTTCGATCCGATCTTGTGTATTTTCATATTGCAATTTTTGAAATTGAATTGTAATCAAACAATGTTTTTAATAAGATGGAGTATTTGCATAAAGTTGCAGGAGAATAAATTTTGTTTTAATGCTACTACAGTACCGGTTAATAAGAATAAAACCAATCCGGTTAAATGAAATTAGAGATTTGCAAAAATAAGTGTAGAATTAGATATCAAACTGACTTGTTTATTAAGCTTATGAAAACATCGTATATATACAAAGATGAATGACGGTTTAACATAAACTTTTAGGAAACTACTTATCTCTAACTAGAGAAATAGGAAACTATACGTTATCTCTTAATGAGAATATTGACATATATTTGTCTATATCGTAATACTCCCCCTAACTTTGGAGCGTGAATGTCACAAACGCCCAACTTGTACAACAATGTATTGAACTGTACACGTCCCAGCACCTTAGTTAAGATGTCCGCGACATGCTCTTTGGTACAAATGTGATGAAGGATAATGAGACCATCTCAAACAACATCACGAACCACATGACAATCGTTTTCAACGTGCTTTGTACGTTCATGGAATACTGCATTTTCAGCAATATGGATTGCAGCTTTATTGTCGCAGAAGAAACAAGTAGGAACTAGCTTGATATCAAATCAATGAAACATTTTGCGCAACCACTTGACCTTTTTGAGAGAATTAGACATAGCACGATATTCAGATTCAGCGGAGGAATGAAACACCGTATCTTGTTTCTTTGTCTTCCAGCTTATAGGAGAATCACCAAGGAAAGCAACATACATAGTAAGAGACCGACGAGTTTCAGAACAAGCAGACCAATCAGAGTCACAATATATGGTTAAGGACATGTCTTTCGACGAGCTCAACATAATACCTTGACCAGGAGAACCCTTCAAAAAACGCACAATACGTAGAGCTGCCTCCTAATGAGCTTCTTTAGGAGACTGCATAAACTGAGACAGAACATGCATTGAATAACTTTACTCGGGTCTGGTATGAAGAAGATACAATAGCCAACCGACAAGTCTCATATACTTGCGTGGGTCAGTCAAGAGAGGACTTTCAACCTTGCCAAGTTGGTGATTCTGTTCAAGAGGAGTTTCAGCTGGCTTGCTACCAAGATTTCCCGTGTCTGCAATAATATCCAAGGTATACTTGCGCTGAGAGAGAAAGAATCCTTCTGGACCACGACTTACTTCAATTCTGAGAAAATACTTTAGTTTCCCCATATCCTTCATAGAAAAGCACTTGCTCAAGTATTCTTTAAATTTGTGCACCATACGACTATCTTTTCCACTGATAAGTAAGTCGTCCACATAGCTTAATACGCAAAGTTGAATTCCTTTGCGGCTGTAACAGAACAGCGATGAGTCATCATAAGACTGAACAAAACCAAATTTCAGAAGTGCATCTGAGAGCTTTTTAAACCAGCACCTTGGAGCTTGCTTAAGACCATACAAATATTTCTGAAGGCGCCAGACTTTATTGGGATGAGAGTGTCGAAATCCAGAAGGAAGTTGCATGTACACTTCTCCTTCTAGATCTCCATGAAGACAAGCGTTGTTAACGTCCATTTGAAATACTTCCCACTGGTTTGCTGCAACTAAATAAAGAAACACACGAACAGACGCCATCTTAATAACATGGGTAAAAGTCTCATTATAGTCTTCCCCTTCGACTTGTTTGTTACCCATGACAACAACAGATTTATAGCGCCGTATCGTTTCATCTGGATTGTATTTAATCTTATAAACCCCATTGACTCCCAAGTGCAACCTTGCCTGGTGGGAGGTTGCAGATGTCTCACGAGTGTTGGTCTTCGAGAGCAACTACTTCGTCAACCATAGAATCATCCCACACATCAATCCCAACAGCTTCTGCAAAGTGTTTAGGTTCGACACCAGCTGAAATAGCAGCTACAAAGACTTGTTGCAGTTGAGTAAAGTTATAATCAGATACATATTTAGTCAATGGGTATAGTGAATTACCTTGGATCGAAGCCTAGGACTCAGACGTGGACGTAGCGAGAGCGAGATGGGGGCTTAAAACAGAGCTTTGAACTGTAGTTTTGTAAGTGACATAATCCTTGAGTTTTACCGATGGAACATGTTGTCTTTTTCCCCGGCCAAGTTCGGTACTTTCAGAAGGACTACAAGCCGGACTATCTGTCAAATCAGCTGCTCCATTGGTTACTTCTTCTTCATCCTCAACACTTTGTTCTGTTATACTTTTATCTTGCAAAACTTAATCTCCACCAATACTGAAAATAGGTTGCAAACTCCCCCTGTCCAAAGACTCCACCGGAGCCTCCACGACTGTAATATTCCAGTCCTCATCAATGTTTACAACCGGTATTGCTGATGGAGCTGGTAAGACTTTAGCTGCATATGGGAACATGTCTTCTCGGAAGACAACATCCCGAGAAATTAAAAATTCCTTGCGCTTAGTATCAAAGACTTTGTAACCCTTTTTACCAAAGGGATATCCAACGAAAACACAGAGACGACTTCTTTCTCCAAATTTGTCTTTATTTCTAGAGTGTCGATGTGCATAACAAGCAGACCCAAAGACTTGTAGCTGTGCATAATCAGGTTTACAGTCATGAAGGATTTAATAGGGATTTCGACCTTTATTGATGGAGCTTGGCATCCGGTTTATTAGATAAGCGGCTGTTAAAACTGCTTCTCTCCAGAAAGTTATCGACAAACTAAACTGAAATAGTAAAACTCGAGACACGTTAAGAATGTGTCTGTGTTTTCCCTCGATGCGACCATTTTTGTTGGGGAGTCGCTACGCAAGAAGTTTGATGCAGGATACCAGCCTCGCGAAAGTATGTAGAGAGACACATAAACTTTGTGCCATTATCACTTCTAACCATTCTGAAAACTTTACCAAATTGTTTCTCGGCGTATAGGATGAAGTTTTTGAGAATGGTCCGAACCTCTGTTTTCTCGAGCATCAAATACGTTCAAACGGCTAGAGAGAAATCATCTACAGTTGTTACGAAGTAAACGGCACCAGAAGATGAATGAATGTGATATGGTCCCCATACATCAACATGAATTAAAGCAAAACAATCATCTGATTTATTAGAATTGTCTGGAAAAACTTCACGAGTTTGTTTAGCTCGAAATCATACATCACAAGGACGAGATATATTATTGGTAGATGAAAACAAAGGTAAAGAAGAAAGCACAGAAAAGCTAGGATGTCCTAAACGCTGATGTCACAATGC